TGTTAGATGGGTTTAAATAATGTCAGATCAATAATTTCATCGCAAAACACGACAAGGAGTAACAAGCTATCGACTACTGATACTTCCCCATTTGAACCTATGGTAAAGGATCGATCTTGAGGAACACCGTGATAATCCATAATCGATCTTTTTCCATAGGTTCAAGCGGTAGATCGATGGATCCAAAACAAGCTACAGACGACCGATACTTCATTCGAAGCTATAGTAAAGGATCGATATTGAAGAACACTATAATAACCCATAATCGATTCTTTTCCATAGGTTTAAGCGGTAGATTAATGGATCCAAAAGAAGCTATCGACAACCGATACTTCCTCATTTTAAGCTACAGTAAGGGATCTACATTGAAGAACACCGTGATAATTCATAATCGATCTATTTCCTGAGTTCAAGCGGTAGATCAATGGATCAAAAACAAGCTATAGACGACCGATACTTCATTCGAAGCTATGGTAAAGGATCGATGTAGCAGAACACCGTGATAGTCCATAATCGATCCTTTTCCATAGGTTTAAGCGGTAGATTAATGGATACAAAACAAGCCATCGAAGACCGATCTTTCCCCATTTGAAGCTATGATAAAGGATCGACAGTAAAGATCACAGCGATAGTCTATAATCGATCCTTTTCCATAGGCTCAAGCGGTGATCAATGGATCCGAGCGCAGCCGCCGAGCCGTGACCGCTACGCAGCCCGACGCAGGACAACTTTCACGCGGGCGCGCGGCGGCGGCGGCGGCGTCGCGACGCGGGGTCAGAATGGAACTTGGAAAGCTCTGGTGACCATGCGGCGGCCGCGGTGGCGGTGGATTCGGAGCACGAAATTCCTGCCGCCATCGCCGAAACGTCCCCGCTCGGCGTCGGGCGGGGCGGGAGGGGGTTGCGTAAGGACGCGGAAACGGAGTGGATGCTCCGCGCCGACGTCGTGGGCCGGGTCGAGTCTGGGGCAGGGTTAGGTTTCACCAACTTTGGACTAGCCGCGGCTCCCGAGCAGCGGGATTCCAACTTGGCAGTCGGCGCCGTTTCGTAAGCGACTTTTGCAGCCACGGCCGCCTTTGCGTTTTCGACGCATTACAATACCCCCGATCCTTGCGAGATGGAGGAGAATCGGCGGGGGGAGGGTTAGAGGAGCGGCCCGAGTGGGTGCTGCGGGCTGATTGTTGAAATCGGTAGACAAAGCGATAGACAAAGAAGACGAAAAGGATATGGAGGGATCCTACATTGGTAGAAGCGAGTGGTTGCAATGGACAAAGGAGGTAAGTGATAGACTAACTGACAGCATCCTATGAGAGACCCTATATGATTAGTCCATCATTTTCTCCATTAGTCTAAAAGAACCACCCATTTCAACCAATAGCTTTGCTCCATATTCCTTACAGGGCCGGATTAAGGGGGTGGCCACATGGGCCGCGGCCCATGGCGGCAAATCCAAGGGGCGGCAAAAATTTGCAATTTTTTAAAGTGTAGGTATAACAAAAAATCGGATTTATAGAAACAAAATTACAAACGAGAAAAGGCGACAAAATCTCTCATTTCCTGAGAGTATAGTAATTTCTAATATTGTCGTCTCTTAGTGATACAAGAGACAGCACCTTCAATAAGTCGACTTAAGAGAGAGACCAAACACGCAATTTGGCCTGGAACGGCGCGACTTAGAGAGAAATGATAAGGAGGACTTGAGATGAAAAGGAGAAGCCCTCGGCGCGGCAATCGGCATGTAACACATATTAGCGCCTACAAGACTGCAGGAATACTTCACGCATTGCATCAAACACAGTGCGGTCATTGCGGTCAGCGTGAAACGGATAGCACCTACAAGAATGCATGAATACTTCACGCATTGCGCCAAACAACAGCGTGAAACGCATAGCGCCTACAAGACTGCGTGAATACTTCACGCATTGCGTCCAACACGGTGCGGTCTGCGCGGCGCGGCGGAGGAAGTTAAAATCATTAAACCACATTCATGTTTGTTCTTTCATAATTTTTTCGTTCATTTCTTATAAATGGAAGGCCTTATCCACACAGAGATAGGTTTACAGAACTTAACTTTCGCGCACAGTTTCGTGAACTTCTGCTAGTAGTGTTGACAGGGCTTTCCCAAAAAATGTGTCCAGCACGAGCAAATGCGTCTTATGCATCCCTCCCCCGCTGGCACGTTCATTTGATGGTTTTTATCGAGTTTCAAAACGAATGAGAAGGGGGCGGCATAATATAGGCGGCCCATGGGCGGCAAGTATCTACTTGCCCGGCCCTGATTCCTTATGTCTTCTTTGTCTATCGATCTGTTTACTTTTTTCTATAGAGCGCGTTTTTAGGTTCCCCGAAGAAGATTAATACCGTTGAGATAAAAGAACTAGCTCACCAAAATTTCAACTATCAATTTCCAACCAATATCCAAGTTCCGATGTACGTCACCAACAGTGGCCATAATGTATTCATGAAAACTTCAAATGCGTTTTTTCTTACGACGCGATTTCTTGGTATGTGCCCTTCGTCCGGAAAGCTCCTCAATCCCCGAAGATAAAAGCTTCCACCATTGCCACGATACCAACGGAGGGTCTCTCTTTGTCTCTGGTTTGGCATGAGTTACGCAAAAGCGTCCAGCCCACTTACAAACTGGGGCTCTCAAACTGGCATCAATTCTTCTATTTCTCAGACATTTCCGCATGGAATTCCTTGAAAATTTCAAGATCTGATCTGTGATGTATCTCGAACAGATCGGTTACCTTCAAAGATCGTCGGGGCGACGATCTTTGAAAGGCAACAGTCAACAGTTCCATCGATGAGCCTCTTTGAAGCCCCTAGTTTGAAGGTGGGCTGAACGCTAATAAAGAGTGACCGGGCGTTAGACTCGGGCACTCAACAGTCAACGGAACTTGTCGGATGACCGTGAATGCGTCGGCGCGGATTCGGCGGATTTTCGCACTTTTTTGCGAAAGATCCCGGGCGGCCGAATCTCGGAATCTGGAGCAAGCGGTGAACCAACTGCCCGAAACGAGTCGGACCGCGCGTTGCGCAACGCCCCGGTCGCGGTCGTCCCGAGAAACTTTTAATTCGCTCTCCGGAGAGGAAAACGCAATTAAACTGCAATTTAGTTGTCAACCGTGGACCGACGCACAGTGGATCGAGTCAAAAAGAGAGGTCAGACAAAATTTGGAAACTTCAAACGCTTATAACTCCATTTATACAAAACTTTGAGGTCCAAAAAGTGGTTCCATTGGTTTCCTCGTGAAATTTGCTTCCGAAAGCACCCCTTGAAATGTAAAATGTGACGAAATGAACACCGAAATTTGCGGTTTTAGTCAAAAATTCCACGTCTGACTCCTCCGATTGACTCGATCCACTGTGCGACGATGCACGAGCGGCGATAAATTTTCGCGTTCCAGAAACTTTTTGCTCGGAATTATCACCGAGTGCGTCCGCAATGGATCCGATTATCGCGATGAGTCCGCAACACACACGTTAAGTTGATGAATAGTCATTTCGCAACGGAAAAAGCAGTCGTTTTGTTTCTCCTTATATCATATCCTCGCTATCCGATGAAATTAATTGGTCCGGTTTTTTTGACCGCTGCGGCATTCAACTTTCATTCCGGATCAACCGAAAAACAGACACATTAGAAGTATGATAAATTAATTTGGGTATTATCTCTCATTCCGATGTCTTGTAAAATTATCTTGTAAAAAAATCTGCATGCTAAAGCAGTGGCGTGGCGTGAATTGCGATGTATTGATTGTTATGCCATTTAAAACTATGGAAAAGAATCGATTATTAAGGTACTCGCTGCGAACACCCTGTTTATCGATCCTTTTCCATAGGTTTAAATGGCAGAACAATCGATACATCGCAATTCACGCCACGCCACTGTCAAAAAGGGCATTTCTTTGGTGCGGTGTCTCAAAACCTCCGCTAACGTTTCAACCCTTACAAGTAAAGCAAATGTATGGAATTCGTTGTAACTTTCGCTGAATTGTCTTCGTGATTTTACAATGCTGAAAAAGAAATTTTTTTGGAAAATTCGCCCAATAGTTCCCTCTCTAAAATATAAATTAGCAGAGGAGATTGTGAAACACCGCAACCAAGAAATGTCCTTTTTACACCAAACGCCTCAATTAACTTAGTTATTCATGCTGATCACGCGGCCTTCAGGGAGGAAATTTAAGGGAAAATAGAAAAAATGGTAGGAAAAGAGAGCACAAAAAACCCCAGAATTTTCAAGTAGCAGTCCAGCGAAGTTAAATTAGATCCGTTCGGGGATGTTCTGTCATTCCGATTAATTGTTTCCCATCCTGTTTTTGTAACAAAGGAAATACTCCTGATTAGTCTTCCCGGTTGTCAGGTGAATTCCGTCCCTTGAGCATAATAGAGACATTTGAACTCACAAGAGCCCTCAAGAGACATTGACACACTAGAAAAAGACATTTCAACCGTCTCAAGATGGTTTCAAGACTTCATTTCCTCTTTCTCCCACGCCTGAGTTGGCGTCGTTCAAGTCTTTGCTTTCGCCTTTAATCTGTTCTGATCCCTCTCTGTACTGCCGCACAATGGAAGAACGCCATATAAGCCATTAGGCGTTGCCAAATTTCCTTCAAAAATCACAAATTTCTAGGAAAATTTTGAACTATTTCTATTCTGATTTTTCAGAGAATTTCGTTCATAATTTGATCTAAAAAGTCTGAAAATGTCAAGGAAAAAATGTCAATAAGTTTCTTCAAAAGTAAATCTTTCCCGAAAGGAAATTTGGCAACATTCGAATACTCTTACGGCGTTTTTACGGCAGCGTAATTTTACGCCCTCTCCGTCCCACAATCAGTGCTGTAAATGTGCAAAACAAAAAATATCTAAGTAACCTGAATTCCTTCGAGGGTTGTCCATCATATTCTACCGCGAAAATTCACCTTATCATTCCCTTTCCCGACCTACATTCGTGTTCCCGACAGGAAATTCATAAATCTATAACGAGATTTTTATTTGCAGGTGGTGCTGTTTCCTAGACGTGTGTGGGTTTTCCGGCGAGTCGACTCGAATCCAGCGGGCGCCTCCGGGCCGGGAGCCATGTCATTGTGAGCTTTCCCGTTTTCCTGCCGCGGCCAAGTTGGACGAGCGTGAGGACTGAGGATGACGCCGCGGGCGAGCGTTTCGGAGCGGGTCCGCCGCGAGTTCAACATGAGCAGCGAGGGCGTCCGGCGGGACGTCGAGCACCTCAAGTCCTGGCTCAGGGCCCAGCCCCACCTCCCGCCCCTCACAGGAGGTACGCCATTCAACCTTTAACCACGCAAATACACGCATTATATAGGATCGTATTCTATCGCGGCTCTGTGAGTGCCGGGAAAATCATAACGCCTTCAACTGCATGCGTATGCAACACGGACATCCATGGAGTTCGAATAGTTGCATCCAGGGTTGTAATGAAAATGGTTGAGGATTCGTCGCATGCTTTACTGAGGACTCTGCTGGTTTCTCGTAGAGTCCCTTTATATTGAGAGTCAAGACAATTTGAATCCATTTCTGATTGGTTCCCGTATTTTAGGCCTCCACAGTGTCACAAACGGGAATAGAGATTACATTTTCACCAATTGCAAAGATTATAATCTGGAATGGACCAGGGAATTACGGGTTCGGCAAGGAACAAACGGAATGAGAGGAGGAACGGAGAAAGGCATTTGAGAATGGGCCGATCAAAGATTACGAAAAACGTTCAATTTCTGTAATCTTTATTCCCGTTTGTGACATCCATGAGCCGA